TTTCTTTATAGCAACCGCGGGGCGCACCCTACTCGCGCTCAGGAGAGTCATAGGGGCCCGCCACGCCGAGGCAGCGACCCCGACGGGCCTCCCCTGCATGGGTGACGCTCTGCGCGTTCTTGTCCAGAGCATTCACCCCCGTTCATTGAACGCGCTCTCAACGCGTTCAATAACTGAACGTGGAACGCGCGGCTACACAGCCAACCTGTACGACAACGCTGTGTTTGCAATTCTGGTAAGTGATCGGATCTGGGTTAAGTCATCGAAGTTGGGAGAGGGATTGGGAATCTCTAGAAAGCTGATGCCATAATTTTTGGACCCTCAAAAGTTTTGGATATAGTCGGAGATCAACCAGATGGTCCCTCGGATGTCATTCGCATCCCACGTCACCTCCGCACACACCCCATTTTCCATGCATCCAAGTAGACTCCTTTCGCTGAAACAGATAAGTTTCCCTCCAGAAGATCAATGCTGCCCCCAACCATGGATGGACACGTGGACATTGATGAAATTGTTGAACACAAGCTGATGCATGTGCCCAAGCCTCCATGCAGGGAACGCCCCCTGAAACCGCAGATAGAGTATCGAGTGCGTTTCATACATGATACTGATCCTAAAGAAGATTGGTGGTTCACAAGAGAAGAGTGAATGAAGACAACTCCATTGATTGTTTAAAATTACGAAAGAGTTCTGAAGGGGAAGCAATTTGTAGAGTAAAAACTTCTAAGAGGATTATTGAAGTAAAGGAGGAGGGAGTATGAGGATCTTAGCTCTCGGCATACTTGCATAATGCCCTTACAGCAAGCATGTGACCACGCTACGTGAAGGCCTGCTCTTGAAATTTCAATGAGGCCTGAGTTCGTCAATTTTGAAAAGCTTTGGTGGGTTCCAAACAGTTGACACGCCCCAATTGGTTACCTCCTCCCTGCTTGCGAGAACCAGCAAACCACATGTGAGCCTTCCAGGCTCTTCCAGAAGCAAACAAAGCAAGGCACACCACACATCTGTACCTGGGTAGTTGGGTTCTTTTAACCAATTTGGTCCTAGGCCACCGTTTGAACGGGTCTTGGTGCAAACACTTTGGTCGAGAGTGAAGCTACTGGAAACTCAATCCCACAAGGCAAACAGGAAGCAGCGAGCCTGCCACTTTCCATTTAGGAAAGGGACGGGTTGGCACTTGCTTGTGCAAGCAGCAGCTCTGTTGGAGTGTGCGCTTCCAGGCTGCTTGCTGTGCGCTAGTGCATGTACTTGTGCACTGAACATGGTCGCGAGGAAGTAGGGCTCTGCAAGTAGCAGCGGCTGCAGCGCCATAACCCAACCCCCATAGCTGGGCTCGGCCTTCGGCATGGTTAGCGGGGAATGATGGTGGTCCTTGTGTGAGGGGAGACGAGGGTGAAGAAGATGCGCGCGCGCGCGCGCGAGAGAGAGAGAGAGAGAGAGAGAGAGAGAGAG